CACAAGCTCGATCGAATAGTGAATGCTACGGATAAAGCTCTGCTTGCAACACTAATGAAATAGAATAAAGCTGTTTGGTTTTGCATCACAACGAATAGATTAACGTGCTTCACTTTTAACGCTGACTCACTAGTGCCTATCAAGCATTATATTGCAGCACTCCTCCAGCATCAAAGTGTATGACATCACGTAGCCTCTGTCCAAAGCGACGGCCCCAACTGCAACTGCTAGGCGTGTTGCATCACCTTTCTCGTCGGCGAGCATTGAGGCGAGCTCATCCCGAGCTTGTATTAGCTTCTCCGAGTGTTAAGTCAGCATCTGCAACTTCTCTTCCATGCGTTGAATTTGCCGGAGTTTAGAGCGTAGTAGCTCTTTGCACAACCTCGAATTGTGAGCTCGAGAGTAGCTATGGCGTGTGGCAGGAGGGGATGGAGGCGCTAGGGGCGTTAGATCTTCACTAGCGGTGCTGGTACAAGCGCCTGCATCTGTGTTGTCTTGATTCATTTATCTCTCAAGTCTCTTTGTTTCGATCGAATCGTCGCAGAATGTGCCTTCTTCTATCACAAATTTTGTCAAAGTGGAATCGTAAGTTTCGAGGTTTCTGAAATATATCACGAATAGATTACGATCGACCCTTCTAGAGTTGCTTCTTGTGGCACTCGTTGTGGTGCTACAAGCCCATTGTGTTGCAGCAAGAGCTGTCGTGACGTTGTAGTTGTGTTGTAGGAACGCCATCCGACATATAGCTCTCTTCAGTTCTCGTCTCACGAAAGGTGTACGATCTCTTGCGCAGCTGGTGATCAATCCACCAGTGGTGGCACCACAGCCCATGTTGCAATCGCAATGTCGGTGGCGTATTATTGGGTTCATTTTCTTTCTCGTACTTCATTTCCATATTGAGGGTTCCGTCACGACGCACACGTAATATGAATGATGTTTCTGCCGCATTGTTCGTTTGCGTCCTTGGGCTGCATATCCCCAAGAGCAGATCATCATCATTGTTGGTGACATTGATTAGTCCTCGTCTGTGACTTAAGCCATCGGAAGGCGGTGTTCACTGCTCTATCGACGCAAGTAGTCGAACCACATACAACGTTCCCACATAGGCTCATCTTGGTCGCTCTCTTGGGTATTGAATTCGCGTACATCACGGCCTGTCCTCGTAGACATCGGCATACGGTTGTCGAGTATTGTCTTACCCACACTTCACTGGCAAGATGGTCCGGCTCCCATCTATCTTCCAGCAAGAGCTACTGGTCGCTCAAAACGATGCTTCGGTCACATCGTGTGCCAACCGAGTCCTTGTCGATCTTCGAATTCGCTCACAGTCTTCAAAGGCCAGACATATACAACCGGACAAAGCAGTAACTACTTCGGTCAGGCAATTCTGACTCGAATGCATACTCTTCCACCTTCCGCTTCACTTTAAACGGTACGTGCCATCGGTGCGCAAATTGCTTGTTCAAACCAGACTTGGCACGTTCCACATACAACTAAACGCGGCTACCCGGCTCAAAAAAGCCTTGGTTACCTTTTGGGTGAATTCGTCATCAATGTCGTCGCTACATTGGTGATGGGAAGTTTCGCCATCATCAAATCGTTGTGGCCCCACCACCCTTTTCTTTCAACTAAGCGCATCATTGCGGCTCTGGCGCTGCCTGCCTTTTCCACAGCTTGATATTGTTTTGGCCGTCTTGATGTCTGTTCATTTCACGTCGCCGCACAAGCGCGCCAGACGGCTTGCCGGAACCTCGGCGAAGCGTCGACATCATTTCTTGCAGTGTTGAGTGTGCATCCCATCCATGGACAAGGTAGAATGGAGTCTATTTTCTTGTCGTATCGTAAGAGTTGTTATTTGCAAATACCAGCCGTTCTGCAGTCTCATCCTAGTCTTGTTGCAGCGGAGCCTCGACATACACCTTGACTGACTGTATTACAGGTTTCATCGACCGCTCTTGCTGTCCATTGGCTTGTGGCCAGTAGCTAAGCGTAGCGCACTACCCCTTGACTGCGTCATATCGACGAATCCTTGGAGCACCTCACTCAGAAGCGAGGGTCACGACCATGTCGGGTGAGAGACGGCGCACCAAACTGTCTGTGGATACGCCCTTCAAGCGCTTGTGCAACCATGAGAGCAGACGTGTCAGCCATTGCCCTGGCTATGACAAAACCAGCAAGCGAACACTGGAAAAGCAGAAGCGCTGTGTTGTCTTGGCGAGACCTGGGCAAGTGTATCACAAAAGTCCATAGACACAATCTGAAAGGGCAGCTCGGCCAAAATGCTGTCAGGCAAGTACTCTCGAAGCTG